CATTGAATGCAGCAATGGTGGCATGTGACTGATGATCTGCTGAGAATTTTTTTAGATTTTGCTTACACAGGCTGTAATTATTCAATATGCAAATTAGTTACTTAATATGCACGGTCTTGGCTCTAAAACTAACCATGTCTGCACTTTACCCAAGGTACTAAAATGTACTAAATTTGATGAAAATCTGCTGAGAATTTTTTCAGATGTTGCTTACATAGGCTGAATGTGATAATTTGCATACAAAGAACCTAAACAGGGAATAGAAGAAATTTTATTTAGGTGGCCATTTTTTGTAAATGTCAGTGATAAATCATTAGTAAATGACATGAATGAACATAATGGAGGATTAGGCCACTGATAATGGAAAAGTAACAGTAGTAATTTAAAGTCCATAGAGTGAACTGCTTTATTACAATATAATAATACATGTAATCATTTGTATTCAACACAAAAATCCACTACAGAGCGTAATTTTATGGTTGTAAAACAAAAACAGAAATAATAATTCACACAACTGATATCACAAATAGCACATTAAATACATATAATTATAGAACGAGGAAAAAACATAAGCTAATGTTATTGTTTAGGACAAAGCAAAACTTAAGTACAGTTCACTCCACCAAAATCACGAATAAAACATTGAATAAATGTAACTAAGAATGGAAGAAAAAACATGAAAATTAGTATAACAATAAAACTACTAAGCTACTAAATATGCCATATGCACAGTGCAATTCCTTAAAATCTTATCTGCCTGCAATGGTTTTGAATTTATATTTATACAGCAAGTATCCTGTATACATTAATGACAGCTTTACCACTACGTGCTGTCTCACTCTGTATGTAGATTTCAGACAGTCAATTAGAATTTGTAACCTTACACTGGAGTCACTGGATACACACAAATGTAATTCATTTCAGAAACGTTATGCTTGTTTTTTTTTATTTGATTCATGAGTGAAATTTTAGCAAAAAAAAAATCAAATATGGCAGATGGATATTTAGTGGGAGTTCTGTTTTCGTTTTGCCAATATTGTGTGTGGCTGAAACGACTTTATTTTTGAAACTTCAAATTTTAGCTCTGCTGTCGAATTTGTCAAGTGGAGCTTATCATATGAGTGATTGTCTGTCGGCGCCCGTTGTCCTTCGTCGTCCGTGTCAACGTTTTACTTTTTTTACTTCTTCTTGAAAAATACAATTGATATTGCTTTGATACTTGGTGTATATGTGCCTTGGGCAGACCTCTCCCAGATTTGTTCATTTCATGATGATACCTTTAATTCTCTAATTTTGATGAATATTTTTGGTGAAAAATGATATTTTCGAATTCTTGTTGAAAACAGCAAGTCTGATTACTTTGATACTATACATGTTGTTCATTTTTTTAATGATATCTTCAGTTCTTTAATTGAAATGTGCATTGCTAACAGCGGAGCTATCTCAGCCGACAGGCTGCATGCTTGTTGTTAAAAATCTGAAGAGTCAACCCTGTGTTAGTGACCGATATAAAGACCACCTGCCTATAGCAACCTCTTTTTAAGTAGACCCAAAGCATAACATATTGAGTAATCTGTGTATAAAGACCACCTGACTACATTCAGTTTATTTTGATCAACTCAAATAATTTACTTTTGTTGCAAAAGTACCATCTCATCATTTACTGGACACATACATTTTACAGAACTCGCTGCTACGGCAACCCTTGTTTGCATTCAAAGTACAACACTGTCGTAAAGGGGTTTTTATTCAGTTTCTAACTTTGTCAGTTGTTTTGTGTCATGGATTATTTTGATTCTAAAAATCAGCTTGTTTTCTTTTTGGCTGTTGTTGTATTTCTTTTTTTTATTGAGCCAATGTAATGCAACTTCCAGGTCAGCCATGCTGTGTATATCATACCACACTCTGTTTAATCTTCTAATGTGCCTACCAAACTCTGACCCACGCCAAGCGAAACAGAGCGCTTGTGATCTGCTCAAGTAACTGTTTGTGGTTCATATATTAATAAATAATTATGTGGTGTCACTTAGAAGGCTATTTCACACCACCACAGATGACGGCTTCCTTTTACGAACAGTGCTTTCTGTTTGTTTCATAATAATTATAAACTCAATTATTTATGGTATATCCTGTTTTGGAGGATGTCCTGGTTCTGAAAAAGCTTGACATAGTATATCTATACAACAAGATAATGTTCATAGATAAGCCGGAATATGTTATGAACAGCATCGACTTTTGTTTGCTCATACCTTGCCCCACGTAAATTTGTCCAATTACCTAGACAACATATTATGTCAAGACATTAATTTTTGTTAACTTGGCCTTTGCCTTGTTCCAGATCAACAAAGTTCAACACCAAAGCTATACAGATGTGTTGTTTGATAAGTATGATCAAATTTGAAAATTTTGACAAATCTGACAGAGGATGTCCAAGATATCACATTTTTATAAAAAAAAAATTGTATGACAGTCATCTTTGATTCAATCGTGAAACGAATCAACATGGACTTGTACCCTAACATGTATATATGTATGTAACAAATTTGAACAAAACCTGACAAAGCATGTCTAAGATGAAACATTTTCAAAAAACAAAATGGCTGCCAGTCGGCCATCTTGAATCGAATAACTGTTAGACCACTGCATGTGCATATGTCCCATACAGATCTGGTCCAGAGGGTTCTGAAATAAGACTCTGGACAGGAGAAATTAAAAGTCCCTGGTTCAAACTTCGTATTAGTTTATTATATATATCTTGTATATCGCTATTTTATTACTGAAAATCAGACAATGTACCTTGTCTATTAATGTGCAGTTTTAGTCAAAGAGCAACATTTAGAGTTGTCCATGAGATAGAGATCTTTCTTAACTTATGACAAATTTGCCCACAGTGGGGTTCAAACCTACAACTACAGAAAATATGCTATTATGGATTGCTATTGAAATTTCTAAGGTAAAAACGTCTTAATCATGCAAACTCGCTGACATAAAAAGTAAAGTAAACGAATAACACCGAATAAACGGCAAGGTAAAAAAAATACTATGCCAAATCAAAGTAAACATATACTGCGTACGTGACTCAAACCGGCGCTCACATACCGCACCTAATCGCCTAGCTTCACATCACTACATGTCTTCCCCTCAGCCACTGGGCATCTCCACAAAAAGAATGCTTAATAACCGAGCTTATTACATGCAGAGAGCATGCAGTTGTGTTGAATTATCCATGAGCAAAAAAAAATGTGTGAAATAAATTTTTTTATTTTATATATTACCCGGTAATTAAACTACCCCTCAGTTCAGTGCTGTGCATTTTTTTTATTGTTTTCATATTGTCAAATCAGTATTTATACAGGTTTGGGTAGGTTAAAGGAAACATCTATCCAAACAACATAATGACCTCTAAAAAAAGCTCCACAAATATAGAAGAATGCAAATTACAGTTTTTTTTTCAGTTACTTTTCATTCTCTAGATATTCAAATTTATATCAGCATTATGTAGTCAGCCATCTTGATTCTCAAGCAAAGGATTATGGGTAAAGTATGACATCATAGAATCTGTTGTTTACAATTCAAAACAGTTGTTGTTGTTGACAGTTGTGAGTAGGATATTATCAACCTCAATCTGCCGCCAGCCTTGTGATCTCATAAAATTATTGAAACAAAATAGTTCTGAAGTTTTGATAAAGTCATTTATGAGAAGTTTAACTTAAGTACAACATAATTGTACATCTGACTTATACAAATAGAATTATCTATACTTCATGCACAATGAGGGAAACCACTTCACTTTTATTCCAAATTTTCTTCAAATTTTTTAAAATTTATTTATCACTGACAAAATTGGTAGAAGTTGTCACATTGAGTATTTGAAAGTCAGCGTATGTAAACACCCCAAAGTTTTCAAACAGGAAAGATCTCTGTAGGAAAATATTTAACATTTCAGTGTACATGTACTATGAGAAATGAAGTGTGAAAATTTTTGGTTCTCAATTGAAATAGTTCGGTACCTACCCAATTTCATCTTTCCCTCCGGGGTTCTTTGCCAGCCTTGTCAGCTTGCTTCCATAGCTTTTTTCAATTTCAGCCCTAAACGCAATAAAAACACTGATTTAATACACAAATAATAAAAGTTACAGGCTATAAAATACTTCATTGAGGAGTTCACCATGTCTCACCTAAGCTGCACTACTCAGAATAATCAACAACTTTATAACAATATGCGATACACACGCTGCATGCATGGCGACACGGTGAATACCCAGACGTGAAACGGTAAAAAAAACACAATATGAAACTAAAATTACAGCATGTGAAAACAACATTGTTCAAAAGGTATTAAATTACCTAAACCCCCAAATGATATTGTTAGAATTACCCAGTAGTAAATGTAACTAGAGGCAGCGTGACTGCAACTACAGGTAAAAAAACAATACAATGATGTGAACAATCGGATGTGAACCAGTATCGGGTGCTTAATCTGCTTATTATTAATTAACCACCTTGATAGCAAAGCCCCCAAAATGATGCAATTGACCAACTGCAGATAGGACCCCAGAGAGTCTGACTTAATTATCATTTTAATTTTGGAAAATCCGTTCATAACACTGTGAGATATATACTTTTTACAATAAAGGCTTCTAGCAGGCGGTGTGATTAAACCTAACAATTTTAATCTCCTCTATATAAGTTTTAATATATTTTATATTTAAATGTAACATATATTGCTAAATACTTTTTTTATTGACAAACAAAATGTGCATTGTTCTTTCGACCAAGGAAAAAATATTGGTCCAAATAATAATTAAAAAAAAAATATTGATCAAAATTTAAAAATGATATTGATCTTTTGAACTTATTCAATCCATGAATAAACAAGCAGCCTATCGGCTGAGATAGCTCCGCTGTTAGCAATGCACATTTCAATTAAAGAACTGAAGACATCATTAGAAAATGAACAATATGAATAGTATCAAAGCAATCGGACTTACAGTTTTTAACAAGAAGTCGAAAATATCACTTTTTACCAAAAATTACAAAAATATTCACCAAAATAAATTAATTAGAGAATTGAAGATATCATCACAAAATGAACAAATCTGAGAGAGGTCCACATGTAGTACCTATATATGTAATATCAAAGCAATCGGACTTACAGTTTTCAACAAGAAGTCGAAAATATCACTTTTTACCAAAAATGACAAAAATATTCACCAAAATTAGAGAATTGAAGATATCATCACAAAATGAACAAATCTGAGAGAGGTCCACATGTAGTACCTATATATGTAATATCAAAGCAATTGGACTTGCGGTTTTTAACAAGAAGTCAAAAATATCACTTTTTACC